TTTAGAATAAGAATCAGCGCTGATATCGAGCAGAATGAAATTTCTTTCGCTCGAAATATACTTTCATCAAAATTTCACTTTTACTCGCCCTCAGGCTAGTCTTCGATGAATGTTATCTGTAGTTTCATCGTTTGGAGTTTCGTGAAATTTTAAATTCAGTGGCATACATCACATTGACTCACTTGCAGTGTTGATTCTTTAGATAAAATGTATTTTGTTACGATATGAATTCTTCGAGTCAATGCTGTCGAATATTCGATTGTTTTCCAGTTGCGATTTATATTAATTTTAAACAGTACGAGGTTCTAAAGAGCATGGAACTTCTTGAAAAAAATAAAAATCATATGCATCACAATCCCTTAAACTTGTTGTATTGAAATAGGCGTTGTTGAAAATTTTCATTATCCAAAACGCAACTTTTCGGTCTCAAATCTATGGTGTCTTATCGATTTTTCTGTTCGTTCAAAAGAATGGTTGAGTAAAAAAGTTGACTGGAAAATAGTCGAGCAAGGATCCTCTCATAAAAATTCAATTTTGATCATATGGGAAAATTTTGCCGTTTCCAGTTTATCAGATAGAGAAAAGTTTTTGCTCTCGAATGCACAATAGCGTGTTGGTTTCATGATGTGATGGAAAGATATCACATAGGTTTTTCTGAAAACTGTCTGCTGAAATCAGTATTTTCCTTAAAGAATTCGACTTTTGACGTTTCTGAAACTTTTCTATTGGTTAGTTTGAAAATGATGCTTGGGATTCTTTATAACATGTGCCAAATGTTTTTCGGTGTTTTGGATCATTTGAAAGTACTATTATAACATGATGTGTACCGATTTAGATAGTTTTATACTTTTTTTTTGAAAAGATGATTATTTTATATTATGGTGGACAGAATGAGTCCCTATTAAAATTATTTTTTTGAAGGAATCATTACACCTTCTCAAAAAACAACATCGATTGCACTCTCGGAATGAAGACCTATTTGCATTGGATGTGTGAGAATTGTTTTATAAGTTTTCTGAATAATTTTTGTCTATGAATATCACCTGTGAGCTCATAAAAAGCAGTCGTTTTACCTGCGACTCTGCAAAATATGCTTTTTATGAGTGTATTTTTTTTTGACTTGAATGATGCGTTCTTTTAGCGAGTATTGTTACGAAACTGTGTGTTAGCGCTGAGAGACTTAGTTCTTGTAGCTCTTGGGTCATTCAGATGACAACAAGAATCAGTTCCGCGTTACCTGAATCACTTTGAACTGCCCACATGATGATTACGCTTTTTAATAGGCCACCGGCCTCTTGCAGCATAGTCTGACAAATAACGTCCATAAACTTGTTACACACGTCATTTTTCATGACATATATAAAATTGATACATCAGATCTCTTTCAACAGAATAATATACTATCGTCAATTTCCATAGTTAAGGTACAAATTATCGTTTCTTTGCATATTCGGATATTTACGAGAAACATGCTCAGAAAGGAACTGTTAGCGATGGTTAGTTTTCTTTTTTACAAAAAAATGCCAGTCTTGATTGACTGACGAAAAACAATACTCACTTTCGCCTATTCGATTTGTACGAAATACACTATTGCCGTTTAATACGAAATCGAAAGTAAGTGGCCGCTTTCTCACTCGCAATAACGACCATTTTTCTCTTTCTTTCTTTCTTTCTCGCTGTTCGTATAAAAATGAATTGGATTTTTCTCAAAGAGAGTAATTGCTGTACATCTCGATGAATTTTTTATTGTTTGATTAATTTTTGGGTTGAAAAAAAACGCATAGATATTCGCGATTCAGAAACATTCAGTTACTCGCTATTTTTTTTAAGTAAGAAACTGGAAGACGTGTTATTCAGTAGTGACTTTTTATTAGCAAGAATAGTGTTTAACAACTAGTGATGTTGTTTGCCTTATCTTGAGAATGAATTATCGCACCTAACAATTTCACTCTTAGAATACTTAAAATAAATGTTTTTATGTAACTTGTCGTCATTAGCAAGATAGACAATCTTGCATTTATATCGTCTCAGAAAAAATCATTTCATGATGACAGACTTTTAGTGAAACTCAACTACGTAATATATTTAACATATCCCATGTTTTGAAGAACCAACATGAGACATTTTTACATGATGCACTACATTGACCAAAAAATCTCCTTTTTTCATCTGTCTTCATTGATGATAGATCTATAATTACATGAAGTATTCATCATGGTATAATTTATTTAGTCTGGTAAGAATATTAATTAGTCACTGAACAATTCGTATATTAATCAACCAGACATTTAGTATTGTCAACTTTTCAAAACGAGAACTTAACATTAGCGTCTATTCGGCATCGCTGTATAACGTCATGCGTTTAACATTCACACCTTCTTCCGGTGTTTGAGTTGCATTTAGTCGAATTCTGAGAACCTGTTAACAAGAAAAATTGATGTGATTCCCTGTTAAGCAACAGGTGAATTCAAAGTATGATTAATTCAAGGCACATTCATGATAGAGTAACGAGAAAAATCTTGCAGTCACATTTTTTTGCGACACGAAACTCAATACTTTGACATTCATTATTTGCGTTGCTTGAACTTTCAACTGTCATTTGTTGAATAAATATTAACAAAGACAACTATTTTTCATTCAATCGCCGTACCGATTTGTAGTTGCATTCGGACAGACTTTGAAGTAAGCTCTATTCTCGTTAACTTTTGCAGTGTCTCTCAGAAAAGACAACTGACTTTAAAAGCTTATTTTCTTTTCTTTTACAAACTGTATACTTCTTCGTCTTCGAAGGATACCTATTGATGTTAGTTGCTAATTGAAGTCAACAAACAAAGCTTCTTTTTTCACATTTCTTGCTCCATGTTGCATATATTTGAAATGGAATTAAGAAAATGAAAAAGGTAACTTCATGGATTCATCAAAAAAAGAACATTAGAGTAACTTACACATTACTGTAGTTGTGCATATGATTTTGGGTGTGAGTGAAGGTGTGGATATGGCTGCAGATGTTGGATGTGCTGATAGGTGTGAGAAGGAAGAAAATTACCCACAACCTCTCTGGCACTCATACCCATGCACTCACACATCCACACCCACCCTTTTTGAAATGTGAAGTTTGCTCCCTAGTTTTTTGCGTAAGAAGCACATATAACGAACATGTGATCTTCTTAGTCACCTATAGGATGAAACTGTTCTAGAACATGATCTATAAGACAATCATCGTAGAGCACAAAAACAACAAATCAGGCGCGACAGCATATAGAAAACTTAACTGATTTAATGAAATGATATAAAAAATTGCTTCATCGCGCTGAGGATGTACGAAAAACCAGAATAGATGATGATTTGATTGAAACCGATGTTCATGAATATACAAACATGTTAGAAAATCCAAGATTTGATGTTACTCATGTTAGTTCCTAGATGATTGTTTGTAGAGATCCAACAAAGTTACTTATAACTAAAATATTTGTTTTTATTAACCATATAACAAAATTTATTAGAGGATGAACGATTTGAGAAAACTTTTGGTAATGATTATAGTGCAGAGAGTGGTTGTATGGCTTATCATCTTGAGCCTGAGAAAGGTGATACCCATGTATGTGGAATAGAGAAATATTCATCGGGCAACTATAAAAGTCGATTTTTTTTTATGAATAAGAAAAATTCTTTTTTGGTATGCCGTTTAATATTAACTCAAAATCTACGGTTTTACGCAAAAAAGGACTCAGGTTGGACAGATCAAGTTAGAGATGGTGCAGCGACGATAACACTGGAACAGTACTGACTTACCGTTCAGCAAAACCTTTCATGGTATGAAAGGTGAAACAGCATTTGAAACTGAACTTTTGCTTCACTATGATAATTTAGTTATCGTAAGGAACAAATGAAAAATAGAAAAAAAAATGGGTGTTGATATTAAGAAGTGCTCATTTTCTTAGTAATTACTTTTTTATTTTCACGATATACAAGATTCTGTTCGACTGATATCTTCGAAAAATTATTTGCAATATCAATCATCAAATTATTCTATTAATTTCTAAAGAGGACGGGGTGTGGGTGTGGGTGAAGATAAGAACAACATCCACACTCACACCCATCCATTCCATTTGTGGTCTTCGAACTAATCTATTTTCTCTTGAACTCGATAGCGATAAATGATAAAATTTTCATCTTAAATGCAGTGAAAATCACGACTTTTTAGTATTGAAGACACAGAATTCAAAATCGTATGATATACCTTAGATATTTTAAGCCCATGTTTGTGCGTGTTGTTATGGGATGTAGTGGTACAATTGACATTACCTAAATGCACAATCCAAGTCTAACTCACACTCAGACTATCAAATTCACGTTAGTCCTTGTTTCTAGAAAACTGACATCACATCAAGCTAAAATGAAAATATAGTAAATAGGACAAACGAAATAGATATGTTCTCAATGACATACTGATGTCAAGCAGTATTCAGGATATCAAGAGTGGAACAATATTTTTTCCCATTGCTTGTCTGGAAATTCATCAAACACTTGCTCTTATAAGACATTCAAAAAAAAAATAGTCGTATTAGTCATTATCGCCCAAGAAAAACAAATGCAAAATCTTCGTTTGAACACGTTCTTTTATCAGTTTGTATGTTCTCGCTAGACTTTAGGGTATAGATGTGGGTGTTATTGATCGCATTGCCCACATGGAAAAGAAATCATAACTAACTGTGCTAAAACGCGGTTTAACCCAGTGAATTGTGATTCGTCTAAACTGGCTCATATATAAACAAGGTATAACGACAAAAATAAATCGACGAAAAAACAGAAAACTCAGTGGGTCTCTGGTAAACAATATTTCTATTGTTTCAACGAAAAAAGTTTTACAGAAAAGCTTTTTTATATTATTTCTGTTTAATTGTTTCATCACGATTCTTACACCATAAAATCATTGGCTTTACAGCACAAAGCAACATACCGTTCTCGGTCAGTATCATCGTTATTCAGTTATTTTAAACATGCAACGAACCAAACGGCAAGAGAATCAAATGGTTAAAATTTCAAATAATCATAAAAAACGAAAATTAAAAAATCAAAGTAATAGTTTATTTCAAAATCTGTTAAATCTTATTTTTCTTTTCGTTGTTTCAGTAACAACAATCAATTTAAATAAGTCAGATATATCTCTTTCATCATATACATAATTAACCTATACTTTTATTTAGATATCATCTTGAAGATTTAGCCAATGAAATCCTTTATGAAATATTTGAATATCTTGATGTATATGATATTTATAAAGGATTTTACAATCTTAATAAACGATTTCAAACTTTAGCTATTAATTCGAATGTTGTAACTAAAATCAATATTTCAATAATGTCAAAATCAAATTTCAAAAATTATTATCGAAATATTCTTATATGAAATCGAAATCGAAATACTTTTCTTTGTTTATCAAATCCATTTGCTGTCGAAATTATTTTCTCACGTCCACGTTTAGTTTTGAATTTCATTCGTCTTGAAATAGTAGTTCTTGAAAATATACAAATCAAGCATCTTTATAAAATCTTGGATAATTTAGTATATTTACGTAAATTTCATTCATGAACTATTTTGATCAGTGATTATATTGAATCATTATATCTGCTTTTTTTCTCGTATATTTTTGTTATCGAAATTAAAATATTGCAAAATTGAATATCAAACAAAAAATTATGAAGAACCATTGCTCACTATTTTTACTGAATGTGATTATAGTCCAATACAATCGTTGATAATCAATGGCCGTTTTCCATTTGATTCATTTGGTAATTTATTATGTTGTCTTCCTAAACTTCAACATTTATCAATTGACTGCCTTGTTCAAGATCGTTATTATACAGAAGAAGAAGAAGAAAAATTATCTCTTATTCAATTAAAATGTTTGAAATATGTTTCTCTTCGAATCGATTATGTTGAGTTTAAAACGTTTGAAAAAATTATCGCAGAAGTTTTTCATTATGTTCAAATGTTTTGAATTGAAAATAAATTGCTTTTTACACATCAACATATTTGGAAATATCAACCTGATAATGGAATTCTATATTCAACTGCTACATATCGGTAAAGAGTAATTATTATCTGTCGACGAAAAAAAACACATGTCCGTGACCAGTTTTAGATAATTCTTGCGTCAATAGTACTTTTGTCATAGTATGAAGATTGATCGTGAAACTAACAAGAAATTTTACCGTTGAATTCAGGATGATGAAAAATCCATATGCAGTACAAGTCAATTGATTCAAATCGAAGATCTTATTAAAATCTTATTAGTTTCAGAATAGAGTTTCTTTACAATCCTGAGCCTTTTCTCTCGTATAATGAAAACACCAGGTTGTTAGCTGATTCTGCTATTACACTATTCGCTGCAATAGATATCATTATGAGTAGGAATTTATTCGTATTGTATTTTAGACGAAAAGATTACGTTTATTATTGGGAATCAAATGAACCTATTTGTTCACAAATACAAAAAGAAAATTATCACTTAGTTAAACATTTTTATATTTGTAGTAAAAAAATAAAAGATAATTATCTAAGTTACTTTTCAAATGTTAATCAATTAACTGTTAAACATCATTTTGAAACATCAAATGATTCAATTCCAACAACTCTTCATCGTATGATTCCTTTAAAACAACTTACAAAGTTAGTTATTGAATATTATAAGTTTTCATTCATTGAAATTATTCAATTTTTACATTTTACACCTAATTTATATGCATTAAAATTGGATTATTTACCATTCAGTCACCTTAGTTTCAATGTAATTAAACCAAATGAAGTTTTTCAATATGTATCAAATAGAAATAAAATAAAAATTCTCGATTTTCGTGTCTGGTGTTCATCGAATGAAATTCAATTGGTTGTGAATTTATTTCCACAAGTATAATATCTTAAAATTGGAATGAATAGAAAAGAAATACAATCAATAGTTCGATTTTTATTATTAAAAATTAATGATACAACACAATATTTATTCTTTTTTTGTATTTTACGAATACTAAAAATACGTTTAAAAGAATTAAATGTTTTAATCAAATCAGAAAATATACTTCATGATTACTGTAGTGAATTTATTCATCGTGATTTGTTTTTCTGATGGTAAAAATTGAGTTGTTTTGGACTTGTTTTATTTTTATTTTTTGTATACAATAATGATTGAGTTCAAATAAATAGGAAACATAGCTTTTGATATAGGAAAATAATTCTAACAAGACTAGGAGAATTATGTGTTTCATAGATAGTATGGATATAAGTGTGACTACCATAGAAGTTCGTTGAAAGATATTAATGAAAACGAGATATCTACATAAGACAACCAAGTATATCGCACTCCACTAGACGTCTATCGTAATCCAAATCATCTTTTTAATGTATTGTATGAAAGACACCTTCTGTATATTAAAGGTGTGAATGTAAATAATAATTTTACTCAAATCCACACTCTCCAAGCCATCTAAAATGTCTTAATTTTCACGAAAATCATACGATATCATTGAGATTTCGAGCGTTTTCATCTATGTTTAGCTCTTATCACAGGTTTTTCCTATAGTGTATGTGATTTTTATTTGGAACTCGATGTGACGACATTAAAGAAAACAATCGATCTGATTTCACATATCAAAAATTTCAAACGAGATCTGAAAGATAAATCATGTAAGTTTCGCATAGTTAAGTTGTTTGTCTGTTCCACTTACCTCCGTACTAAGTGTGATTACTTCGCAAATAATACTGGTGCTAAAACCAAGATATAAAATGTATTTCTCATCTAGATGTGTTTGCCAGAAACAAATCACGATGTACAGAACCTTTTGCATTAGCGATCAAACATTTGTAGAATGAATCAAGACTTCCTAACAGCACGTATGACAAAAAACTTTACTTCTCTAGCTATAGCGAAATCTGAGATATACATAATTCATTGAGATAGTGATCATGGCATCTATATCACGTTTTACAAGGAAAAATTGAACTTTTCTATTACCCATAACTTAGTCGTTTTCGCTTTGAAGTTTTCCAGACAACTCTCAAATTGAAAGTTATGGTAAAGCATGCTGTATTCTAAGAAACTAGTAATATTCTATGAGTAGTTATAGAGACGAAAACTTGACTATTTTCTTATATTTTGTTGGTGCTTAGACATCAGAAAACACTAGCAAAACATAATAGAAACCATCGATTCACAATTTCCACGACTGTTCATCGAAAGTCGCTAAATTTTCAAGTGCAAGACACGTCAACAGTACTGCTAATCTGAGCCCAAGTCGGCAAGAATCCATGCTAAAATGAATAAATTCTGAATAATACAAAAGTCAATCTTGATCTTATCGCATGTCAAGACGTTTGTTTTTGTCATAGCCATTGTTTTCATTTCTAAGCGAATTATTTCATGTTCATTTTTCCTACGAAATCCTTCTTTCCAATCATTATCAGTCGTCTGTAAATAATATTGTTCACTCATTTTAGGACAACCGACGGAAAGATATTCAGACTTAAAACATTGCAATCAATGTATCTCATTTCTATCTAATAAGTGAATTAAAAGTTTTTTTATATTAGTTCAGATGACTGAAGAAGATCATTGGAAAAAAAATAAGAAATATTCCTACCTAACGGGAAATATCAACGATAGATATATAGTATAAGACATTGCATATGCTTGAGCCTATCTCATTGAAGAAGAATTTCTCTTGTTTGATCTTAATTAAAAAATAATTAGTGATATCGTCTCTTGAGACCGATATCTGAAGAAAATTCTCAAGTTTGTCCTTAATTCAAATCTTTTCAACAGCGATTTGGAATGTTCGATCAGTGAAAATAAGATGATAAACAACGAATTTGACACGGACACTAGCTGTTTTTTCCTCATTCTGATATTTGAATGAAATCTCGGTGTCAGAATCTTCGAACATTCATGTTTGCTCTCATTTCATTTCAATGAACCATATCTTTCACAAAGAGAACCATTTTTCTTTCAATCACCAACTAGGAACAAGGAATGTGAATGTGTTCATGAGTGTGAGTACACATATTTTCGTCTTTTACATACACATCTATACCGTGATTGAATAGAGTATAGGACTCACAAAATATGATTGTTACATATTTGTGGATGTTGTTAGAAGACTTGAAATTAATTATTTAAAAACACTACCAGAAAAAACGAATAAATCAAAATTGTAACTACTTTTATAGTTGATATTGGTGCTCTCAAATTTTAACTTTTCAAAAATGTTTCAATTTAGACTTACTATTGATTGATTTAATATCGTTCTACTATATAACCTTATTAGTATTATCAGCTACATCTGTATACACATTGGTATAATCATTCAGTAAACATGTAAACATATCATTCTTTTTTCGATGAACTTAGATACATACATTGGAATTTTGTCTAAGCGTAGAATTCTATTACTATTAATTCATAGTTTTCAACGTCCTTTCTATTCTGACTGTACTAGAATAAATATATTACCTTCGTATCCATTGACATCTACAATAAAATCTCTTTGTTGAAATGAATACAACAACTCACGAAGTTTCGAACAGTTAAAATCTATAGTAGAGAAATTTCAAATACATAGAATACATCGGAAAATTCTCGAAATATTCTATATAATGTTATTATTGGCTAGCCTTTTTACCATTCCTGGGAAAAAGTGCTCAATGATCGTTCACCTCACCCTTCTGTTGCTCTGAAAGCGTACACAATAACCACTGCTCTTCTTTCTTCAAACTTCAGTTGTTAGAGCCCACAGGGTAAACAGGAAAACTCTTCATTTAAACTTTCATTCGCTCTTTTTCTTGAAAATATATATGAGTTCGAAAAAAAGAAACTATCTGACTAGATTAGACATAATGAAATTTACTGAGCTTTGCATTGCAAGTATTGTGTGTTTCAAAATAAAAGGCAGATGGTAGCTTTCTGAATAACTGGTTAAGTACAAGATAGAGAACCGTGGTTTTCATTATTCGTGAGCACTTTTTCCTTCGAGTATTTCCATCAATTTTCACAATAATCTCAACTCAAATTATGTCAAAATGTACCTCAAATCATGCCTTTTATTGCTGCACAATTAACATTTGCTTTTGAAAATCCACTTAGAATAACAGGTTGAGTGATACTGAAAGATGTGATAATTTTATCGCGATAAAAGGGGTGATTTGAGGTGAGATTATTATGAAAAATCGATGATAATACTCGAAGAAAAAAATGTTCACGAATGGTGAAAACCACGGTTCTGTATCTTGTACTCAACGAGTTATTCAGAAAACTGCCATCTGCCTTTTTTTTTGAAACGCACAATAGTATGTATCGACATTTAGCGGATTTTCATACCAGAAAAAAAGTTTATAAAGATGCTCTGACATATATGAATGAAACGATCGAACTGCTTAAAGAACAATTACTGTCAACATCGTTTGGTACTGATGTTATAACGATACAAGACAAGATAAATGCCACATGAATCATTACTAGTCTTCGTCGTCTTGGTAAGTGCTACATGTACCTAGACGAAATATTGAACTCTTCTCAAAATGATCAAGATTGCAATGGAACAGCGCTTAATATTTATATGAAATTCTTGTCATACGATAAAGAACTGGAAAAAGAAGTTGTTGTACTTTATAGGAAGTTACGCGATTACTATGAGGATATCAGTGATTATAATCAAGCAATCAGTTGTTTTTAAAAAACCATTAGCTCAGAACAGCCATCGATCAGTGATTTGTGCCAATTTGATAGATTGTATGACGTGTGCAACAAACCGAGTGAAGCCGAGAAAGCTTCAAGAGACTATTAGCTAAATTGCTCGTGTCAGAGCAAAAATACTTCAGACCGATAGAAAAAAGAGGCTTGATCCATGACGAAACGCTGCGGATAGGGAACAGTAGTTGTTCACAAGTTCTAGCAAGAGCGGCAACGATGGGTTCAATTGTAACATGATTGATTCTTCGAATGAATTTTGCAGAAGGGTAATCAGAACTTCTCAGTGTAAAGGCATGGTTGATTCAAATGTCGATGACGAAGATTCAGGTCAGTTAAAGTATAATAATGTCTAATAATAAAATATATCGATTGTACATTACTGTAGGTGATGATTCTTCTCATATCGAGCCATGACAAGTGCCTACCTCAAGATTGATGAGTCTCAAATGGCAACGATATACTATGAAACAGATATAAAACAACGTACATGAGATCAATTGATCCAAAACATCATTACGATGCAATTGGAAACGATTGATTAGTCCTCGTACTTATACCACTAATAGAGTATAGTGCTTTTTCTGCCGAAACTATTTTCCATTTTGACTGATCAAATGAAAACCACTATTACTCTGGACGATGTCAAGGTATCGACATTGGGTGATACGTTCATTCAATGCACTCGTATTCACGATCAATCCTCGTCTCATATCAAAGCTATCGTAACTTACTGGAGAGCTTTTGTCGCGGATGCCTCTATGACAAAAAGTATTGACGACAAGTTAACAAAAACAATTTGATTATTAGGATGAATAGAATACGTAATATTTTCGTATGTTATGAACTCTAGCTACAAGTAATTGTTGAAGCTTACGCGGAACTGATGTTGCCCAAAGATGCAATCCAAAGGCGTTTGAAATTGGCAGCAATGTATCGAGATAATGAAATCGATGATGTCAAAGATGAATATGGTGACCATGACACCAGTAATAAATCACGTATCAAATCTCTACGATACTACACTGAACTGCTAACAACAAACAATGATTATGAAATCATCAAACGAATAAGATTCGTTTTCATTCGATTTCACTATAGTGAACAAAATTTCTGATCACATCAAGTCGATTGCGTCTCACAATTTTTCTAAATAAAAACACGCTCTATTCCAAATG